GTTTCTCAACAACTCATTAAAATAAGTAACTGATATAGAGATCATAAAATATTTATCTATTTATTAACACAGATTTCATATGGACAACAGAGATGGTACATTTTTAGCTTAAGTTTAAGATATATTGTACTTGAATACAAGAAGTGCTCATTCACAAAAAAAAAAAAAACCACACTCATAATTCTGACATTTCCCTGGTTCAAACTTGCCTTTCCCTTGCTAGCAAACAGGTACTACAAAAGGAAATAAAGTAAACTAAATGAATTAGTGTTGCTTTTCAAGCTGAAGAAAAATCTTTCTACTATGATTACTTTGTGCCTTTGGGTTTCAATTTCTTTACTTCCTCCTCTGGTTTCTCTTTTTTTGGCTTTTTAATTTCCCTTGGAATGATGTCATCAAAAGGATTAAACAAAACCTATGAAAAGAAATATTTTAAAAATATTATTCCATTTTTTAAAATTTCACAAAAAACTAAAACCAATATTTAATTACATTGACATTAGAGTCTATTTTTTTTTTCTCCACATAAACATTATTAGTTTAGTAATATACAAAGTGCTTTCACTTACATGGCCTCACTGGATTCTCCCAATAATCCTATGTACTATTAAGTAAGGGATATTTTATCCCTATTTTACAAAGGGAAAAATATTTAAGAAAACTTAAATGACACATAGCAAGTAGACCAACTCAGCTGCTTTGACTCCAAATCAAATGCTCTTAAGGATCTTGCTTCCTTAATTAAGGATCACTCTTAAATTACCTATAAAATCACTTCTTTGGGCTAAATAAACCTAATTCCTCTAATTTTTCATTGTGAGTCGAGCTTTTCATTCATTGGATTATCAGTTAAAGTTTCATTTTGACTTCAAAACCTTTAATTAAAAAAAATTTCTTAATCAGAAATTGTGCCTAAATAAATTAGACATAAAATCTGAGTTGTGATGTTAATTGAGTATAACCCCTTCACCTAATAGTTTAAAAATACTGACAATGAATTCCTCTTAAAATGACAATTTAAGTGCTGTATCTCATAATAACCATGCTCCTACCTCACAACTTTTTATCTTGTGTGGATTACGTGGTCTTTCATCATCATCAATGTCTACTTCTGTCAGTCGCAGCATGTTATATACTGTATCCCCTGTAACCTATCAAATAAAAATATAAAATGTAATTTCACATTATTGCATTCATTCTTTCAATTAAAAGGGGAATTATGAAACATTTTTTAAATAATTAAAGGGAATTTCATATTATTACATAAGAATATATGCATTAAATAATGCAAATAAAGAAATTTCATCTTAAAGGGGAAAAGCATGGATAAAGTTCAATCGCTAATTGAGCTTTTTGGGAAATTTCCAATATATACTTAATAACAATTTTTATTAAAAATAAAAACATAATGCCAAATAACCTCCTACTGAATGACAACACATACTATAAACAAATTTAGACTTTAGGATAGAATAAGCAAATAATAACAATAACGATGTGATAAGTGCTTTGTGGACATTATCTCATTTAATCCTCACAAACATTCTAAAAGTAGGAACTATCATTAATCCTCCTCCTACAGACTAGAAAATCAAGGCTTAAAGAAGTCGTAGAGCCAACAGGCTTTTCTAACTTCTAACCACTATGCTATATGTTGCTTCTAATGTGTAAGTTACATAATAAGAATTATAAAAAATGGTGCAGAATGGCAACTTGAATCTCATTTACTATATACTCTTATTTTGTAAAGATAATAGGTGGTAAAAATCTACAAACATCAGGCAAGCTGTGTTAAAGTGGCTCAAAAGAATGCGCCAATGCATATTTCCTAACCCATGTTGTTAAGTATTAAGCAACAATATTGCATTTCATGGTTTTAGTGTGATTCCTTTCATTCAACATTTCCCAAGAGTTATAAAACGACACCAGTTTTCCTACTGGATAAGTTTGTTTTTTCCTTTTCATCATCACAAAATCCAGTTTTGCCCAGGATGTGGGGAAACAATTCCTACTGAACCAGCAGAGGGAGCTGATACACTAGCGAAGTTAAATATGCCTAAAACTTAAAACATAGGAAGGGAGAATGAGAGAAGAAACCTTTTAGAATTCCTTTTTAAAGAGAATTATTGCAAAATTCTATAGAAAGGACATTCCCTGATATGACATTAAATTGGGCAGAATTAAATAAGTACTATTCCAAGTAATATTTCCAGTAAGAAGTTTCAATGTCAACACAACTTTCACTTTAAACTTAAGGGAACTCCTTATTAAGAAAATAAACTTTAATTACTAAATTTTATTACTTAAGTATACTTCTAAAAATGTAAAAACAATATTGGCTTAGTGGTATAGTAGCTAATACCATTAGTATGATTTTGAAGAAAGAAAACATTAAAGTCGTAACTAATGACTGATTTGAAACATGCAAAAAAGAATTGAGGTGGTCCCTCATAGTTCACTGTAACAGGAATATATTCCACCATTTTTGCAAATAATAAATAAATATCCTAGAGAATATTTTTACAAAGACAACTCTTACATAATGTAACATAGAAGCCTAAGGAATAATATAAAACAAAATCCAAGCCATAGGTTTAAGATAGATGACTGGACACTAACCTTTCCAAAGATGGTGTGCTTATTGTTAAGTTCATCTGCTCGGCCCAGGGTGAAGAAAAACTGGCTGCCATTATCATGAGAACCAGCATTTGCCATGGCAACCAGTCCTCTCCGATTAAAACGCAACCGTGAGTGAAATTCATCCTGAAGCATAAAAAAGATTTAATGAATGTCCTCAGTTACAAGATTCTTCATATATTCAGTTATTCAGCTGACCAACAAGGTCCCACACAACTTCTAATCGGAAATGGTGAAGTTTTATTAAATCGATTTTCAAGTATAATCAAATCTAATATCTACTATTCTTTCAATGCTATTAAACTTGAATTCACTAGCCTATAAGTGTATTCTAAATATACTGAACCATAAATATAGCCTATTTTGTGGAAAACTGTTTACTTACACATAGAGGAAGGGTACTCAAAGGGGAATGGATTTCTAAGAGTCATTTCCCTATTCTCATCTTCAAAGTCATCTAAGCTTTTAAAATCTATTATTTCTCCAAGAAATCCACCTTTGAACCATTGCAGAGTCTTCTATTGCCCCTTCCCATCCCATGATCTAAATTCATGATCTAAATATCATGAAACAATTGCTTTCTTCTTGTTTTTTAATTCAAGGAATCTACTATGATCATGTTATGTGGTTTTACTGTGTGTTTTAAAGTCCTATGTTGAAATCTTTTCTGAATTGGCATTGGTTCTATTTGCCAGTTTTCAAAAGAGCAGGAGCAAGCCTTTCTAAGGAGGTATTCTTGCTGATAGGGCTACTTAACATATAATTAGTCTTTTACTTAATAGAATTTCCATCCAGTCCTGAAACTGGACTCATTTATAATGGAGCCATGTTATATAATCAGTGCTTTTCACAAAAAAGGTTATTTTTCCTTAATAAATAATTCTCAAGAGATCTGAACTCAATGGATCACAACTCTTGTATACTGTATTCGAAATGACCTAATTGAAAAACTTAACAAGATAATTCTATTACCTGAAAACAATAAAGCAAAAATCTCAAGTTAGGAAGGAATTGCCAAAAAGAGATATTATATTACACCAAATAAAAGAATAAAAGAATGTTCCTAAAATCATAAGAACTCTCAACTTGGTAAAATATAAAATAGCCCAACAGTGACATCTGAGATATTTTTATAACCATTTCATATTTTCTAAGGCCATTACCACCTGGAAATTAAAGCAAACAGTTCAAGTATTTTTCTCAAGAATCACACAGTGACTCAGTAAAAGATGAAAGGAAACTCCAGACACTCTATCCCATCAGTATAAACACAAAGTTTTCAAAAACTCCCAAACTTTAAAAGCTATCAATGTTTACACAAAGAACATGATATTGGTACCATCAACTTAATAAAAACCACAACTTTTAGTTTTTACTTGAACCCAATATTCTTAATGTCTTAACTATGATGTTAGCTCTTTTTTCTTCTTAGATATATGTTGACAGTTAAGACATATTCTTGACTAATATACCTTTTTCTAAAATTTTTCATGTTGCTTCTGTCTTTTGTTTGCCTTATGATCCTCCGCTGTGGCATGTATTTTGTGCTGCAAAGATCTATTGTGTATAATTTAGAATAAATTCTGCTATAGACTGAATTGTGTTCCCTCAAAATTTATATGTTGAAGCCCTAACCCCCAATGTGACTATATTTGGGTCTGTGAGGTGGTGATAAAAGTCATGAAGGTTAAATAAGGTCATAAGAGCAGGGCCCTAATCCAATAAGGCTGGTGTCCTTATCAGAAGAGGAAGACACACCAGAGCATGCTCTCTCTCTTCCCCATGTGAGATCTTCAGAGATCTTCCCCATGTGAGATCTTCCCCATGTGGAAGCCAGAAAGAGAGACCTCACCAGGAATCAAGTTGGCAGACATCCTGGTCTTAGACTTCCCAGCATCCAGAACTGTGAGAAATAAATTCCTGTTGTCTAAGCTACCCAGTCAGTATTATTTTGTTATAGCAGCCTGAGAAGACTGCTGCAGATTCCATATAGAGCTTAAAATAGAATGTTTTCAAATAGGATAGCATATGCAATGTTCTAAAAATTTTTTTTTTTAATATTTTACTGAGTTTCAGAGATTAGATACAGTCAGACATCAGGAAATATGCTATGTATTCTTTTTTCTAAATCACATTTTTTTCCACTACCACCTTTAGCTCTACCTGAATTCAATCTAGCATAAACACTTGCCATAAGACAACTTAGAAAGAATGTTGATAGGCTAAATGTTGCTCTTACACCTATGTAATTCTAATTATGTAACAGACACCTAATTTTATATACTAACGTGAAATGTTTTTTCTTCTTGTGAGGCACAATTATTTTCAATTAAGCAATCCAAGCTGACTTGCAAATAATAGTAGTAATAATAATAATAATTTCAGTCTTACCTTGAATGGGGCTCCATAGATTGACTCTCCACCAGTCCCTGTGCCAGTAGGATCTCCCCCTTGGACTATAAAACCAGGCACAACTCTATGAAAAATGGTATTGTCATAATAAGCTGAAAAAAATTAAAAATAATTTATCAATGTCTAAAGTTAAGTATATCTATAGTTATGAGTGTTAATACCACTAGAGTCACAAGATTAATTTCCCAGAATATTAAAGAGGCTCCAAAACCTTCTCTTCTCTACTTCTTATATAACATCTACTTTTCAAAACAGCACACATTGCTACAGAAACCATGGTTGTTGTTTGATTTTATTTCCAGGATTCTCTCAAACTCTGTTTTAGCTTTCAAAATAAAAATGAGAGAGTTTTGGTATAGATCAGTGTTTCTCAACTGGGGGGAGGAGCAGCAATTTTGTATCCCAGAGACCATTTGTCAACATCTGGAAATATTTTTGATTATCACAAATTGGGGATACTAGCGGCATCTAAAGGGCAAAGTACAGGGATACTGCTAAACACCCTATAATGCAAAGGACAGTCCCCACACCATAGAATTATCAGCCCAAAATGTCAACACTGCTGGGGTTGAGAAACCTTGGTGGAGATGAATACCTTACTTCCTACTTCTTCCTCTTCTTCCCATAGAAAATTAATTTATTAATACACAAAGGTACAATATATCAAAATTACTTATTTATTATAGGTCTAGTACCATCAATGCACTCTCCTCAAGAAACTTTCAATAAATAAAACAAATAATGAACACAATACACATTGGAGTCCAATTAGATTCTTAATCAGTTTGCTAAATGAAAGAACACATTTATATTTATATATAATTTGAAAATACATAATTGGCATATAGTAATTTTCAAATATGTAATTTGAAAGTCATAAACATACAGGAGAGATCATATATAATCTCCTATAGTACTTATTACCTAGAACTTAGAATCATTAGGGAGACCTCATTAAAAAAAGAAAACTTAGGTGGGGCAGAAGCATGGCATCTCAGTGAGGCAAGACATAAGCAAAAAATTTGGTGGGGAGCAAGAATTAGGGTTTGACGGAATAAAAGAGTTTATATTAAGAAGTACCAACAATAACCAACATGCATAAGAAAAGATGCTGAACGTATTAGCCTTCAGGGAAATGCAAATCAAAACCCCA